CCAAAAAAAGCTACAACACAATTGTAGGCTGCATAAACAGAGGGATAGAATCAAGATCACGTGAAGTGTTAATATCACTTTATAATGTCTTGGTAAGGCCACACTTGGAATACTGCATCCAGTTTTGGTCGCAACAATGTAAAAAAGAAATTAAGATTCTAGAAAGAGTGCAGAGAAAAGCAACAAAGATGATTAGGGGATTGGAGGCTGAAACATATGAAGAATGGCTGCAGGAACTGGGCATGGCTAGTCTAGTGAAGAAGAAGACCAGGGGAGTCATCATAGAAGTGTTCAAATATCTCAGGGGCTACCACAAAGAAGAGGGAGTCAAGCTATTCTCCAAAGTACCTGAGGGCAGGACAAGAAGCAATGGGTGGAAACTAATTGAGGAGAGAAGCAACTTAGAACTAAGGAGAAATTTCCTGACAGTTAGAACAATTAATCAGTGGAACAGCTTGCTTCCAGAAGTTGTGAATGCCCCAACTCTGGAAGTTTTAAAAAAGATACTGGATAACCATTTGTCTGAAGTGGTGTAGGGTTTCCTGCCTGAGCAGAGGGTTGGTCTAGAAGACCTCCAAGATCCAGGTAAGGGCTTCAAAAATTTCAATAACAGGTTCTCTGACTGCTTGCTGGGTGGGCGTGGGCATGGTGGGTCTTCTACTCAGCCTTCCACACCACGATGATGGGTGGAAGGAATTTTTGGCTTTCCCAGGCTCTGGAGGCTTTCCTTGAGCCTTTTTTGAGGGCGAAAACTGCTTCTCCCAGGCTTCTAGGGTCCAGGCTTCTAGAACATCTGGAAGGCCCATTTCCCCCCCTCCCTGAGCCTCCATGTGGATCCAGCACTTATCTCACACCTAAAACGGGACGTGTGGAGACTCCTGGGAGGGGAGGAGTGATGTGGGCAGGGCCAGCCAGGGCTGGAATTTGGAGGTTCTACAAACCAGCCATAACATTAGCTACAGGTTTTTCCAAACCTGGGCAAACCCACAGAAGCCCACCCCTGGCAAGGTCCCTTCCAACTCTATTATTCTGTAGTCTGACCTCAAGCCTGGATGCATAATCAGGTCTTTAAGATTTTATGTAAAGCCAACACAGTTAGGTCATTCTAATCTTGAGCAGGAGAATGTGAAGGGACTACTGTATTTTTCAGAGTATAAGATGCACCTCCCCCCAAAAGAGCATGGAAATGTTGGTGCATCTTATACACCGAATACAGCCATTTTTGCCTCCCGAAGCTCCACCCCCACATCCCATTTTTGTGAAAAATATGTGAAAGCGGGAGTGTTTTTGCCTCCCCCCTCCCAGAAGCACTCTGCAGGTTTCAGTAGGGCTGGGGCAAGGAGAAAATGCCCCAGGCTTGGTTGAAAAAGGGGCAAAAAACATGCTATTTTTCACCAAAACGGGAGCATTTTTGCCTTCCTCCAGCCCCCAGAAGCACACTGCAGGCTTCAGCAGGGCTGGGAGAAGGGAAAAATGCCTGTTTCAGTGAAAAATGGGGGCGTTTTTGCCTTCCTCCAGCCCCCAGAAGCACACTGCAGGCTTCAGCAGGGCTGGGAGAAGGGAAAAATGCCTGTTTCAGTGAAAAATGGGGGCGTTTTTGCCTTCCTCCAGCCCCCAGAAGCACACTGCAGGCTTCAGCAGGGCTGGGAGAAGGGAAAAATGCCTGTTTCAGTGAAAAATGGGGGCGTTTTTGCCTTCCCCCAGCCATGCTGAAGCCTGCAGAGTACTTCTGGGGCTGGGGAAGACAAAAACTTTTTCCCCCTTACTTACCTCTTTGAAATCTTGGTGCATCTAGAATAATTAACCAGGAGTAGATGTCTGCACTCATGCCATGGCAGGTCCCCCACTGCAGTTGACCCATCTTGGGCATTTATCATCAGCTGACCCTCTGCCAACATTTCTTCCCCGGCAATGGTCTGCCACCACTCTTCTAATGCACCCTTTCTGCTGGGCAATTTGCCAAAAGGCACTTGTTTCCAGCCAATCCACAGTACAGAACAAGTAATGCATCCCCACTGTGCCTCCTCATTGGACGCAGTTCCTTTTTGGGTTTGGCTTCCTGAAGTGGAAAGTGGAAAGATTAGGAGAGGGGACACCCATTGCACTTTGTGGGCATGGAGCAGTCTGAGATGGTGAAGCTGCTTCCCTCCAGATATTCCATGCTATTGGTTGTACGCTGCAGATTCATGGCAAAACAGCAGGTGGATATGTGCCTCTGGAAGGAGAGATTGGCTAATAATAGATTTCTTCCAAGCACATTCTGAAATCAGGAATTTGTCTTAAGTTTCAGGATCAGGCTTCCTGGGTTCTAAAGAATAGGTCAAAAAAGTTTGCATAACAAGGCCTCAGGATGGGCTGCTGGGGGTTCGCGGGGGTTCAGGAGAAACTCTAGCTAAGATTCTGTGCAGTTTGGAGACCCCCCAAATATCAATATTGGCTGGACCTGCCCTCCCCTCCCAGGAGTCCTCATGCAGCCCATTTTAGATGCAGGTAAGTGCAGGGCATCTGGAATCTGGAGAGGCCATTTTCACCCTCCTAGAGGCTTGAGAAAAGCCTCCGGAGCCTGGGGAGGGCAAAAATCCCTCGCATAGTGCTGGAGGCTGACTAGGCCACACCCACCATGGCCATGCCCATCCAGCAACTGGGCAGAGAACCCCTTGCTAAAATTTTTGAAGCCCACCCCTGAAGAAGCAGGATAAATGTGAAGGACCCTCTCGGAAACGAAATTGTCAACCACACTGTGAAATTTTCTCTGACTGAGCATAGCCTTTGTAATTGTAGTCAGCAAAAATAAAGTGAAAACAAACTACACCAAATTGGATCTCTAATTCCTATAAGACAAGCAAACATGGCAAATGGTTAAAGAATTGTGAAAATTGAATGTGAAAATATCCAACTTCTGAGGCGGTGGTGGGGGAGGGGGTTGTTAACTCTAGGGTAAGGAATACTTTCCCTCAGCTCTAGATTGCTCACTAGCATTCATTTACCAAATCCCCAAAATGAATCCTTGGGCTTCTGTCTTGTGATCTTGTTAATAGTCCCTTGTTTCACTTCAGTTCCTCAAGGAATCTAGTGGCTCCTCCAGAGATGAGAATGTTATGAAATATATATGAGAATACTATGAAATATATATATATTTTCAGAGGAGAGACTGTGTAAAGACTTCGGTATAGCAAAATAATCTTGAGAAACTCAAACTGGCAATGAATACATTTAATTTTTTTGTCAGAAGAAACATCTCAGCAATTTGACATCATCAAAAAAAGTAAGACCAATATCTCATAATTAACCAAAGATGGTGGTTGGATTTTGACCATGCATGTTGAAGACAATTTAATTTTTAAATGACATTGAATGGAATATTATGAGAATTTTATTTTCAACTTATGTTAGTCTTTCATTATTTTATTATAGGAGAGATGATGTATGAAATTTCTGCACATTTTGATATCCTCTAGAGGAAAAGGGATATTCTTTATGTAACAGGAATAGATGATCATTGATGATAAGCAATAGAAACAAATGGTATTTAGTGGGAGATAAACTACTTTCATCTTAAATCAATTTTCCTAGACTTGAAAACTCCCAGCTATCTGATAATATTCAAACTAGTGGTCAGAATTTTAGGGTAAATTATGAAAATTGTTTAATTCAAAGAAAACCAGTAACAAGAGAGTTAATTATTATTGGATTCTTACAAGGCATAGACTCCCTGAAATAGCAAACAAACAAATAAATAAGGAGCAAAGTACATGTTCTAAACATGAGGGCTATAAATAGATTCTAAACATTGAAAATGTTCACAAATTACTTGTGAGAAATGGTTGGCTAACAATATATAATCAAATACAAAATGCATAGGACACTAAATTAAAATTGAATTCTTCATGCCCTGTTTCCAAATGTTTGATTGAAATTACTTTTGAATAAACATGCAGAATGTATGTCTGTAGAGTGTGAAACCTATTTATTAATCACTAATAATTCTTTAATTGTTTATTGAACATTTCTCTTCTGTTGCCAGGTTTCAATATGGATGATCCCATGAAAATAGGCAATCACTCCTGTATCACTGAAATTATCTTGCTGGGCTTTTCAGATTTCAAGGCTAGGCAAGAACTTCTGTTTTCCCTCATTCTAATATTCTACCTCATAGCCTTGATAGGCAACAGCCTGGTTTTGATCCTCACCATTGTCAGTCCCACCCTTCACACCCCAATGTACTTCTTCCTCTGGAACTTGTCCTTTTTGGAAATTGGCTACACCTCATCCATCATCCCAAAGATGCTACTGAACCTATTATCAGAAAGACAAACTATATCCTTTTGGGGCTGTGGATGTCAAATGTACTTCTTCCTTCTCTTTGGTGTCACCGAGTGTTGTCTTCTTTGTGCCATGGCATATGACCGCTATGTTGCCATTTGCAGACCTTTGCAATATCCTTATATCATGAACTACAGGGAATGTGCTAAGCTTGCTGCTGCGTCATGGGTCTGGGGTGTTTTTGTGGCTTTGGGGCTCTGTGTTTTAATCTTCACCCTTCCCTTCTATGGGTCAAATAGAATCAGCCATTTTTTCTGTGACCTTATTCCTGTTCTGAGGCTGGCATCTACCAATACCTATGAAATAGAAATGGCTATTTCTACATTAACAGTGCTAGCTGACTTGATACTCTTCCTGCTCATCCTTTATTCCTACATCCTCATCATCTCCACTATCCTCCTGATGCCAGTGGCCAAGAATAGACACAAAGCATTTTCCACTTGTTCCTCACATCTCACCGTGGTCTGCATTTTCTATGTAACTATCATTTTTATTTACATTCGGCCAAACTGGGCATATTCTGAGGACAGCGACAGGATCCTTGCTCTGCTCTACACAGTAGTGACCCCAAGCCTAAACCCTATCATTTATAGCTTGAGGAATAAAGAGATAAAAGCAGCATTTATGAAATCAGTAGGAAAGAAACAGATCTTCTGGAGGTAATAAATGAATTGTATCAATTAGTTTTATCACCTCATCAGATTATAGTTGTCTAATGTTTATGTATAGGATAAACATTAGAAGACCACAGAGCTGGTGTTCTTAATACTGGAATAATACACAGCTAGCCATAGATTTATTTCAAATAAGGAGAAATTCCTGACAGGAAACTTAAGTTTATTATTCTGGCGGTTTGTAAGCAAATGATTTGTTGTCCTTTTCTTAAGAACCTTCGATATTGATATCGTCTCCCACTGATGAATTAATAACATTGGGAATATAAAATATTTTTAAGCGTTATATTGGACCAGAGAAATGAAGATTTTTTTATTGCCTGCAAAGTCACATGTGAAGGGCAGTGAAATTTAAATTCCTCTTATAGACTTTTTCAAATTAGAATATGCATGTGATTCCATACAGCAACCATTTATTTACTTCGATGTAATGCATCAGGTACCTAGTGAGGTGCATGAGGTAATTAGGGTATGTCTATGTAGCACTGACAAAGAAAGCATTTTTGTATAATGAGTAGTTGCCTAATTAGAGAGCATATAGCTATGTTTTCTTTGGGAAGATATAATTATGGTCCTTGGTTCTCTCTGACCTTGGTTGTTTATTGGTAGACATTTCATTACCCAGGTAGGTAACATGATCAATATCATGTCCCAATTGTGATTTTTTTCAAAAGGCAATGGAACCATCTTGTTTTTTTCCCCTTGAAAGCTTCTCATCCAAGAAGCTTCTTTAGTTCTTCTTGAATGAGAAGCAGGACTGAAGCAGCTTCTTGGTTGAGAAGTGAAACATTTTCAAGGAACAAACCAAGAAAGTCCAGTTGCCTTTTGAAAAAGCACCTTTGGGACAATCATGATCTGGATGATTGAGAATCTCCATGGATGTTATTAGTGCTAGTATAAATACTGACATTACCTAGTTGGATAAAGAAATGCCTATTTGGATGATGCAACTTCTGCAAGTGAAGAACTAAACTCAAAGAATACCATGAACTTCCAAATTCAACCATGAGCTACTTATGTTTTCTTCTTTTGAGATATATTTATATTATGGCTGTTTCATTGTATTTAAGTATAGTGACAATAAAGGTTATACTTTTTAATATGATCCTTACTTATTCTCCTTCAAGGTGTTTGGCCAACAGAAAGAGGCAGAAGGTCTCAACTGCAGGACTGATATGTGTGGTCTCAAACACAAATATGCAATTCCAAGACATCCAGTTAAATATGGATCTTACTCTTATGGACTTTCTATTATAGACAGGATGCCTTAAATAAAGAACCAGATAATTATAAGAGGGCACATCAATCAAACATGTGCCTTCAACTCAAGAAGGCCGTATTTAAATTAAGAAGGTTGAAAATGCTGAAAAATGAATTCTGAGAAACGGCTGCATGATTCACTAAGATGAGGCCATTATACAGAAAAGGCACAAACATTTTCTTAAATTAAAATTTCAGTCTCCACTAGATTTTTGTGTCTAGTGTTATAAGCTTATTTAATTTTTAATAATAGTTAAAACATTTATTTAATTTCTTATTTCATATACTTATTATGTTCAATGTTCAGTTGGGGTATTTTTTTCGGGGAAAAAAACCCAATGTGAGAATATTAAATGAACACTGTTTCTGTGTTAGGAATTATGATCTTTTGTTTTCTGAGAGCCCTACTTACTATGGAATATCATCTCTTTCTCTAGATTTACCATAATTCATTGGCCTTCTTACTGTTTTAGGACCGCTGATATTTTTAGTTACCCTGGGAAAGTGTGGTTTATAGAAGTAGCTGCTGACTAATTTGGGAATATATACCTGGTCAGTGCTTTGTTTTCACTGGGAAAAATATATTTGGGCTAGGCAGGTGTGGAATCGAAACATTTTAGCAACAGGTTCTCTGTCTAGTTGCTGCGTGGGCTCTTGAGACCCTCTGCAGGCTGGAAATGGGCCCATTTCCAGACTTCCAGAAGGCCCATTTTTTGCCCCCCCCCCAGGCTCCAGAGGCTTTCTTTGAGCCTCTGAGGGGCAAAGATGACTTCCCTGGGCACTGGAGGTCCTCTGGAGACTTTCTGGAGGCCAGAAACGAGCCTGTTTCTGGACTTTTTGAACTTCCGAGAGGCCTCTCTTTTACCCTGCCCAGGCTCTGGAGGCACACTAGAGACTGGAAATGGGCCCGTTTTTGGACTTTTGGAACTTCCAGGCCTGTTTTTCACCTTCCCTTCTGTTATATATGCAAATGTTCCCTGTTACCAGCTCTCTGATTGGCTGGTCATTTGACAGTTGCTTTGGGCTCGAGTATAAATATCCTGACAGTTGCAGGGACGTTTTGAATCGCCGTCATCTTGCAATAAACATCTTACTCTCTGATTCCATGGCTCCTGCGTCTTTCCCTCAAACATATTCAACACCTTCACTCTGGAGGCAGTCTCTGGGAAGGTAAAAATATCCACCCTCTGGCTCTGGAGGCCCTCCATAGGCCAAAAATGGGCACATTTCTGGACTTCTGGAACTTCTGGGAAGCACATTTTTCACCCTCCCTAGGCTCTGGAGGCATTCCTCAAGCCTCTTGGAGAGCAAAACATCCATAAGTCCTTAGCAAACTGTGTATTATCTGGATCAATTTATTTTGCATACAATTCTGATAGTGATATTATCATTTAAATATACATAATCATACTTTTTCAACTTCTAGCATTTGTATATACAAAGTAATCATAATATGTTCTATTATATTTCAGTATACATAGCATTATTTTCCCAATTTCTATTTTCTACTTCTTTTTTCTAACACTTATTACAATAACCACCATGTTGAAAAGTATTCTATGTCTAGCCATAATCTCCTACCCTTTTTAGAATTTTAACTCTTATTAACTTTTTGGTGAATCTGTTCTGGTTCTCCTTTGGTTTCTTGTAACTCCTTCTGTCATTTTTATTTAAACTAAATATTTCTGCTGCCTCTGTCACACACAACATCAGTCTCTTGCTGTTGGATCTCTAGAGTACCCATCTTCATTCCTCCATCATTTAAAAAGAATCTATCTCTTTATTCTCTTTTCTATTTTGAAGTCTTATATAATTATTATATTGGTTCTGTGTTTGAAATTATTGCTATCTCTTCCCTCTCTTTATTTACTTGTATTGTTTTTAGAATTATCTCCTCTGTTTTTTCCTCAACACTTTCTGGTTTTTCCTTTATTTTCTGATTTTTTTAAAATTGTCATTTGCTCACTGTATCTTGCATCAATTCCATCATCTCCTTCTGATTCCTTGTTATATCTTTCTTAATACATTGAAACAGCTACATTATTCCTTTATAGACTGCCTTTGTTTTCTCCTGCTGAGACATTTTGTGCTGATATACTATAGTAATCATTGCTAAATATTCCACCTAGGATGGGCATGACATCACAGCACGTGTTTTCAGACAGAAGCTGAAATTGCTGATGGATTTCATGGTAAAACATGAAGTGTTTGGGTCTGTGTGCTGCTGGATGTACTCAGTGGAATGGCAAAAGAAAGGATTGCCATGCAAACATATATTAATCTGGGTCTATAACAAAATCACTTCAAATGAAATCGATGATGTAATATGCGCTGAAATACCCAATGCCAACATTGATAACGATTTCCATGAAATTGTGATGAAAAATATGATACATGGACCTTGCAGTACACTGAATCCAAATTCACCATGCATGATAGACAGAAAATGTTCTAAGCAATATCCTCGAGCATTAGTATCCAACACAATTACAGGAAACGATGGATATCTGTTCTGTCTCCCCTTCACGGCTCTTAACAAACGGCAAGACGAATAAACTTAAAAGGAACTTTCTTTATCATGTCTCAGTTCAAACTGGCTTCGAGCCCAAAAATAACATAAATAGAGTCTCTAACGAGATAACAGAATACAAAACAACTCTTACAAGCAATGCACTTCTCCAAATGCAGCCTTGAATCAGGGTTACAAGAAACACAAAGCATTTATCCAAGTGTATCTTCCATAAATCATGACTGATGATCAAGCAATGTTGTACCAAACAAGGAACGCACGAAGGAACGTTGACTCCTGCGACTAGGGCGTGGCAGCATCCGTCCTTTTATCTCCAAACCTGTCCCTAACAAGCCCCAGCTGCATAATGAATCTTGTATCCCGAAAAGACTCACAGCAGACATCTGCTGAGTCACAACAGTTTTCCTTCTAGGAAAAGGTTTTTTTTTTTAACATGGTA